ACCAATTATATAGAAATGTAGTTAATACTTTTTTTTAAAAAGAAGTTCACAGACCTTAGATTAAGAGCTCCTAACCTAACCTAATAAAATTCCCTCATTTTACAGATGAAGAATCTGATGCTCAGGTTGTGACTTGGCCAGGGTCACATAGGTGGTAAGTGGTAGAATCTGGATTTGAACTAAATCTAGCACTCTTTCTTTAGATGCTGCTTTTCCCTGTGGGTAAATAACACAGAGAAATATTGACATGTTTATAGGAATGGTTTGTAGGTAGGAGAAATGTCTTTATCTGTGTGAAAACAAATTTTACAAAGTATCTAGTCAGTCAATAGGTGTTTATCAAATGATTACTATGTATCAGGCATAGTGCTAAGCATTTGAGATAAAAAAAGAAGGCAAAAACTCTCTGATCTGAGGAACCAGAATTCTCATGAGGTATACAATATGTAAATAACCCTTAACATACAAGATATAAACAGTTTAAATGGAAGATAATCTTAGAAGGAAAGCATTAGCAGTAGGGTTTGGTGGGGCTGAGATAGGCCTACAAAAGGTAGTATTTTTGTCCAGTCTTTAAAAAAATATTTTTACATTGAACTTATATATGCAATGGGCATTTGTGTACAAAAGAACACAAAATAAAAATTCTACATGAAACTAAATCTCCATTTCATCTCACTTGCTTTTTAAAAAGTACATAGCTTTTAAATGCTACTTTCAAAACTGTCCCCATTGTCAGTGCTTCCTTTTGAACTTCTGTTCTCTTCTTTGCATTAAAAAAGTAACTGATTCTCATTCATTCTCTCTCTCTTTCACTCCTTTCCCTTCACTTTCCCCTTCTCTTTCTTCTTCCTCCTCCTTCCCCCCCCCTCAGCATTGCTAAATTGCTTTGCATTTCAAATTTCCTGCTTAGCTCTGGTCTTTTGTTTTATCGGTAATACTTGACCACTCTCTATTCTGTTGGTGATTCTTTTTTATAAGCCTATCTCTTATGCTTTCTAATACTGTATTCCAAAATTTCTTGTCATTTATAGTAAAAGCAACTGGGTCTTATATGATCTTGATTAGAAGACCTTAGTTCTTAAATGCCTTTTTTTTTTTGAATGCTTGCAATGTTTTTTCTGTGACATGAGAGTTTGGGATTTTGACTGTAACATTCTCAGAATTTTCCAGGATTGCTTTTGAACTTCCCTGCAATAGTTGGGGCAGCTAGGTGGCGCATTGGATAGAGCACCAGCCCTGGAGGTCCATCCAATTTCCCAGATGTCTTTGGCTAAAAATATGATGTCTCTTTTTGTAATTATGATAGACCAAATGTGTGATGATGGAGTTCCATTCATAAAACTGAATTCTGGACACCAATTTGAGATCCCCACCTTAAAGTCATTAGAATCCTGTTGGTAGCTTGGCATAACCATTTTAATTGGCTGCCCTACTTACTATAAGGACATTTTTACAGTTATACTTAGTTTCCCCTACTTACTCCCATGAATGTACAATATAAAAATCTTCTTTCTTGGGGCAGCTCGGTGGATAGAGCACTGACTTTGGAGTCAAGAGGACCTCAGTTCAAATCAGGCCTCAGAAGCATAACACTCACTGGCTGAGTAACTCTGGGCAAGTCACTTAACCCCGATAGCCTCACTAACAAACAAAAAAAAAAAGGAAGAAGAAGAAGCAAGAGTCGATTCTTTCTATTTTTACCTTGCCCTTTACTTTGGATCTGGGCCATTTTTATTTGTGATTTCTTGAAATATCATGGCTAGCTTTAAAAAGAAAAGTTTTTAGGCTCAGATCAATGAGTCTTAAGTTATTTCTCCTTTACCTGTTTTCTCCTAATTTTCCAATCTTTTTATTTGGTTGTAGAGGAGTTTGTATTTGCCACAGGCAGAGCAACTTCTTCTTCCAAGTTTGGAGCAAGGAGGAAGGAGTTGAAATTGAACTTGAGGTGATTTGAAATGTAGAGTTGAACAAAAGTAAGAACATTCCACAAATGGCCTCTACTTTTTTTTTTTTTAATAAACCATGTGGTGAGAGGGTGAGATAGGGGCTTGAGAAGGTTAAGCATCTGAGATAAGGGTTCAATTGTGATAATATAGCACTAATCAAATGAGATAATAAGTGCAAAATGCTTTGCAAACCTTAAAGTATGTCATATAAATGTTATCTATTATTAAGTATACAGTAGATCTAGTCTGCAGAGTTGTTTGATTTCTTCTATCAGTACAGTCAGCAGCAAGTGTGTAGGAGTGGAACAGACTGGCTGATGATAGGAGTAGTCCAGGGTTGGGGTTTGTCAAGGTATGAGTTGCTAGGACATAGGGGTAAGAGACTTAAGGTAATAGAGTACAGTGTAAAGGTGGACTGTTTATCTAGAGTCATTATTTTGAAATGAGAAATGTAAGGCTAGATTGAGGTGATGGACTGAGAAAGCAGGGAGGGGTAGAATAACTGGACTTTGTAGTATGAATGGAGACTAAGTTTGAGATGAGACATAATGGACATGGAAGGATTATGGTCAGATAGAGGAATACTGGAGTCCTTTAACAAAGCACTTTCTTCATGTATTTAATATGATTAATAACATTATACCATACATTTGTACTCTCCTGATATAAATATTACTTAGTAACACTGTTCACCATATAGTATCCAAACCTCAATATAATATACATTTTCAAAATTAGCCTTGGTTACTATCTGTCTTTCAGAGACATTTGCTTATAACTGTTAAAAGTTCCTATGCAGTAAGTAATAACTCTTGTAATTATATTCTGAAATACCAGAAATGGAGACATTGAAGAAACATAGATTTGCACTTAGAATGTTCATATTTTTAAGGTTTCTTTTTTTGTTAACTGTATCACAAAGTCTTATTTGAGAAAATGTCTTTAGGATAAAATGTTTCAGTATAATGGCCTTCTTCTGATGCTTCCACCTAACTGCCAAAGCAAATGAAATAAATGAGTTATTGATCTTGTGATGTTCTCTTATAATGACTTTATTTCTGTCAGGCCAATAGATGCCAATTTAACCCGAGAGATGTTGTTGAAGCAACTTGACATTTACTGACTGTAATATTACTTTACTTTTAAGAGGGATCCTGCTAAGTGTGGACATTGAAAAGAATTCAGTTGTTGGGAACCAAGATAGTGCATAATTTGGACAATAAATTATGCTTTCATAAATGAAGTTTTTCACATGTGTATTTTGGATTTTTAACCTGTTGGTGAAACTAAAAAATAAGAAATCAATCAGTAGATGAACAAAATTTGATTGGCATAGTAATGTATTGAGATTTATGCTAGTATTTGGTCATTTAACTTACATCTGATCTTTCGTATTATTTGTTTCTCTTTTTCTCTTGGTTGAGGGGGTATAATATTACATTTATCTTTCACAATTTGATTGGGGTCCTATAAAAGAGTTCTGCTTTCAGCCTTTTTCTTGTTGGCTATAATCTGTTTTATCTTAATTGCATTGTCAAGTTACTTTTAATATGATCAGACTTTAAAAGTAGCTGAACTCAATTGCTCTTAGGTGGTGGTAGTGATTTTGACTTTTCTTGTTTGAGGAGACCCCAAAATACTTTCTCCTTCTTCCACTTGGTATTTCTGTGACATTTGACAAGTCCTTTAACCTCATTCTGCTTGAGTATCCTTAAAAGGAGGAGGTTGGACTAGATATCCTACTGTCCTATATGTTCTCTTCTTGTTCTTAAGAGGAACTATAAAAATATTTTAACCTAAGTTGAAACACTGGCTAATCCCCTGTTACCATTTGAAACTGAGCATTTACCCAGTAAGAAAAAGTGTCAGTCAGCAAATGAAAAGTAACTAAGTATAGGTAACATGCCCTTTCTAGACCCTATTTCTGTGGATGTAAAAATGGGTGAATAGGTTGTTGGCTTTTGAGAAGAATATGTTGAGACACAACTGTGTTTATTAATTTATATATAGTGTTTAAATTTCTCTTTGTGCCACTATGACTTCAACTTGAATTTATTACAAAGAAGAAATGTTTATACATAGGTTGATCTCTAATAAACAGATTGAAGAAAAACACTATGAATAATTACCATGTTGTCTGTGTTTATAGTAAGAATTAGAAGCATAATTATTACCAGACAATAGCTAATGGGGGGAGGGAGATCATTTATTTGGCTTTGAATTATGGCCAGAAACATAGTTATCTACTATTCATTTAGTCCTGACCCTTGAATGACTTAGCCTTACTATCTCAGTAGGTAATGTTTTAAAAAGAAAGTCTCAACATAGCATTCAATATGGAAGATTTCAGATTATAAAGTACAGTAAAAATATTGAACAAATTTAGAACAATAAAAATATAGATTCAACTTGAATATAATTTCTTTTTCTCTGAGTATGTGATTCATGTGATTATTTGCATAAGGAAAAAAACTGATCAGTCTAGCAAATGATTGTCTAGATGCTATCATCCTCCATGACAATAATAAACAATTGGCAGTAGTTCATGGGGGTGGGAAGAAGGAGTACATTGTGAAATGTGTAGAGGAGTCTGTGCTTTCCTCCTGACCTAGAAAGAAGTAGAGATGAGCATGGAGGCTATCTCTAGTGTGGTAAGAAATTGGTTTCAGGTGACATGCAGGAGAACAGGCTAAGCAGAATAGGTGCAATTTTTACCATTGTGTAGGTACTTTAGTTGAGGGAAAATGTTCAACTGGAACTTTTACACTTATGCTACTTTTAGTCTATTTTAAATGGTTCTTTTATTGTTTAATAAGAGAACCACTAAATCAGAAGAGAAAGGGATTTAAAATTGAGTCATAGTAAATATGTAAATGTGCAAAATCTGTATTTCACACCCTGACAAGGAAAATGAAATAGCTTTACTGTCATTCCTTTATAATGACTTACTGACATATTTAATTCAGTTTAGAGAAAGAGCCTGATTGGCATATAAAATTGAATTCTTTAGGTTGATTACTTCCTTTCTTTTTTCTTCCCCTAAATTTGCAGGCATTTTAGTCGAACTATGGAGGAACTGGTTCACGATCTTGTCTCAGCCCTAGAGGAAAGTTCGGAACAAGCCAGAGGAGGATTTGCAGACCCAGGAGATCATTCTCGAAGTATGACTTGCCCCCTGAAACGCCAGGCAAGGAAAAGGAGAGGGAGAAAACGGCGGTCCTATAATGCTCATCCTCCTTGGGAGACAGGCCACTGTTTAAGTGAAGGTTCAGACTCCAGTTTAGAGGAACCAAGCAAGGACTACAGAGAGAACCACAATAATAAGAAGAAAGATCACAGTGACTCTGATGACCACATGTTAGTAGCAAAGCGCAAACCATCATCCAACCTAAATAATATTAGAGGTAAACGACCCTTATGGCATGAGTCAGATCTTGCTGTAGATAATTTAGGTAACAGAACACTCCGTAGAAGAAGAAAGGTGAAACGCATGGCAATAGATCCACCGTCTGAAATCTCTAACCCTCTGACACTGCCCCAGCAGCATGAAAATAGAGATCAAGAAATGGACAATGACTGTAGGTCTTACCAACACCAAGAATTCAGTAAAAACAAAGTAAAAAAAAGGAAATTAAAAATCACTAGACAAGGACTGAAAATACAAGACGATGGAGTGGTTTGGGAAAGTGAAGAATTGGTCCAAGTCAATAAGGATAAAATGGAATATGAAGAACAAAAAGGCTCAGATGAGATCATGAGTGAAAGGTGATTTTATTTTTCAAATTCTCTTAAATATGAATTATTTAGTCTTTCATGTTTTTCAGTTTCATTGAATATATGTGCATTTTGCTGAAATAGTTTCAAAATGTATCTTAAAATATGCTAAGATTTGTATCTCTTTGTTTAATTAGGAAGTGCATATTTCTTAATGTGATAAGCAGTTTGATTTGTTACAATTATTTTATTAATTTTATCTGCTTTGGACTCAAAGTCCAGTTTCTGTGTCAAATAGAATTCTCATAGTCAGTTATCTAATCATGTATTTGCTTACTTGTTGATAACTTTTATGTTTTGATACTTTATTGATCACAATTTATCAGAGCATTCTATCTAAAATAACAAATAGGTAGACCATTTCTGCTCATGTTGTAAAATGGACACAAAAAGTCTACAAGTTTTGAGGAGTACTGATGGTCTCTAAATTGCCGCATCAAATTTACAGCACAGAAACACCTGAATTTGCCATTAGAAAAGAATGGGGGAAAGAGTGCTCATTTGGCAGTTGGTTTCAACTATCTATTCTAGACAACAGATTATAATTGCCACAATTACAATTGTCTCTAAATAGATTTTAAATGCCACAACTATAATTATTGCTAAACTCTATTTTTATAGCACAGAAGAGGTAAGTCATTCTTCCACTGCACGAAAGTACTGTTTCCTTTAAGTCCTGGAGAGATTGGCCAATGTGCATATTATTCAATATATGTGTATATTAAAGTTGAATGTAGAACTGTTGCCTTGCAGATTAAAAAAAAAGGTCTGGGACAGTTACAGTTAGATTTACATCATTGTTTCCTAAGAAGTATCTTTTGTGACTTGGAAGCATGCAGATGAAGGACTGAGCATAATCTGCCGATTTGCAGAAGGGAAATATACACGTTCTTTTCAGCTTCTCTTCTGTTTTGCTATTTGATAACACAAGAAGGATATGCAAATATATTCATAGAAGCTTATTGTAGTCTTTCTAGGATTTATTCTGATTGAAAATCTAGATCATTTATTTGTTTTCAGTCTAGACCTCATTAATGTAGGAACTCTAGTATGGAAGCTCTCTTGGGATGCGGGTGGGCAGTCTATCTGCTGCTTGTGGAGACAGACCCGGTGGGGCTCATAAAACGTACATGACGTGGCTGCTAAACTGGTTTGTGTCAAAGGCAGGACTCACACTCAGATCTCTCAGCTCTGAAGCCAACACCTTGATGACTGCTGCCACAGTGCCTCTTGTGTGTTTACACTGTTCTTGGAAAGAGTTGGCACTGAATTGGTGATAAGTATTTGAATGGAAAGCATTATCTAGAGTATTTTGTTATGTTACCTGGTCTCTTCTTAAGGAGCAATAGCATTCTTGTACCGATTCACTTCCGTTTTTATTCAGCAAACTTTTAGGTCGGTTGTGTGTAGGGCACTATAGTGGAGTCAGTATTATCTTTGTAGTAGAATAATCATGATATTAATAATTCGCTATTATGGTGAATAACAGTAAATTATAGTGCCATGAATTTTACAAAGCATAGCAGCTTTGTGAAGGAGGTATTATTAGCAGACGAGGAAACTAAGTCTTGGAGATAGGAAACAACTTGATTGTGGTTAAGTAGCTTTTAAAAAGTCTCCAGGTTAGTAAAAAATCCCCTACTAAATCAGTGGTCTTTTTTTTTTCAGTCCTCTTAGTAGCTGATCTCTGAAAGTATTGATAATGTTAACTTCTTGCCTATTCTATCTTTTCTTGGCTTCAGTGACATTTCTAGCTCCCAGTTTTCTCCCTACTTGTCTTTCTCAGTCTTCTTTTCTAGATCTTCATCCATTTCTTGTCCCTTAACTGTGGATGTCACCCAAGCTTTGTGTTAGACCTTCTTCCTTTTTCTCATTACTTCTTTTATTTTTCCAGCCAAAGACAAGGTTTATTAGAACATCCATCATACTCGGCAGACTCTTAAGCAGTCTGAACATTAAGCTATTGGCTAGATTATAAGAATCTAAACCGTGGCTAGATTTTAAGAATCTAAGCAGTGGCTAGATTTTAGGAATCTGAGCAGTGGCTAGATTACAAGAATCCCAGCTTCTCTTTACTTCTTTGGCAATCTCCTCTTCTCTAATGGGTTCAGATTGCATTTCTACACAGATAACTCCCAAATTTATATCCAACCCCAATCTCCCTTTTGGACTTGTGTATCATATTGCCAATTACTGGATATTTCAACCCCATTATTCCCCAAATGAATGTAATTTATCTTGCCACAACCAAACCCACTTTTTTTCAAACTTTCCAATTCCTATTGGGGATACTATTGTTTTTAAAATCACTTAGATTTACTTATGAGAATAATAAATATTTAACACCCCTCAAAACTTAATACGTTGTTTATGCTATGTTTGAGAGGAACACATCATTTGAGGCTAGCCCCTCATGATATGAGTGGCTTGAGCCCAGCAGCAGAAGGGAAGGGCTTGGTGGTAAGAGGGATCCTTCAAGCAAAGCCTAGCACAAGAACAGTCCTGTAGTATCTTGAAGGAAGGATCTTGTCTGGTCCACTGCACTCAGGACCAGGCAGGCCTTGCCTATGCCATTCAGTTGCAGAGTTTGACCCAGCCTGGGTACTGAGATGGATGAGATGATCAAACCAAGGAAAACTCTGAATATCATCAGGAAATAACATGATTTGAGAAATGCATTTGGGATAATGACTATATAACAAGTCAAGGTAAAGCCAAGGGGGGGAGCAATGTCCTAGTCATAAGGACTGCAGGAGTACCTGGAAGAAATGAAATAAGAGACACAGAATGGAAAAGCTGGAGAGGAAAGAATGGCAAGGAAAATTGACATCTGAGAATAGAGGGAGGAAAATTTCATCTAAAAACTGTATATCCTGAAAATTAGAGTGAGCCAGACAGGAAATGACATAATGAAAAAAATAAAACCAAGAGAAAAAAATAGAAAAATATATTAGAAATATAATAATCAAAAACAACTGACCTCGAAAATAGGCCAAGGAAGAAAGAATTATGGAATCTAAGAATTACTGGGCTATATGAAAACTGTGATTAAAAATAAAAAGTATGGATATCATGTTTCAAAAAATGATAAATGAACATTCAGAAATCAGAACCACAGGGCAAAGGGAAAGTATAAGGAATCTGCTGGTCATCTCTTGAAAGAAGACTTAGAATGAAAAGTCCCAGGAATGCTGTAGCCAAAATCCAGAGCTTCCAAGTCAAATAGAGAGTACAACAGGCAGCCAAAAAGGAGGTCAGGTACCAAAAAGCTTTAATAATGATCACACAAAACTTAGCAGATGCCAAGATAAAGGAGCGCAGTGCTTGGAATATAATATCCTAATATCTTTAAAGGTCATAGAGAAAGGTAAAAATGACAAAGTCTGTGGATGGTTTTGTTCTGTTTTAATGGAAGACAAAAATGGGATGGAGGGGGCTGCTAGGTGGCACAGTGGATAGAGCACCGGCCCTGAAGTCAGGGAAGACCTGAGTTCAAATGTGGCCTCAGACCAAATACTTGACACATACTAGCTGTGTGACCCTGGGCAAGTCACTTAATCCCAATTGCCTAAAAAGCAAAAAACAAACAAACAGAAATGGGATGGATAGAACCCCAGACTGGAGAAGGAAGGAAGAAGGTGAGAAAATAGCTATTGCATAATAGAGGTAGATAAAGTTACATATTCATGGAAGAATAGATGGGAAGAATGGGCATCCAATGAACTTCACCTTCACTGGACCAAATAAAGGAAGATTGAACATAATTTCTCTGTTTCTGTCTCTCTGTTTTTTCTCTGGCTATGCCTCCTCCCCTATGTCTCTGTGTCTCTCTCTCTTTCACATACATTTCATTGCAGGAATATATTAAACTCAAAATGAAAGCTGGAGAGGACAAGGACAAGGGTGGAGCTAAAGAAGGGTCTAAGAAGGAGGAAAGATAGTCATGGGAATACTTATAAGCAAAACAAAACTCAAATGTTGTGGGGATGAACATGAAGTTGGATTTAAAAGGAAAGAAATTGGGATGGGTGAAGTGAAAGAAAAAAGCTGCAACAGACAGGGAACAGGTTATTTCACTTAGAAGACCACAGATATTAGGCAAACCTCTGTTTTGCCATCCTTCTTGTTTGTGAAGGTGGAGGTAGAAGGAGGGCACGGGGATCAATGAGAAGAAAAAATACAGGAGGACAGGATGGACACAACAGAAATTATTGTGAATATGAATGAGATGAATTCGCCCATAAAACAAAAGAGCAGAAAGGGTTAGAAAAGATAATCCAATACTATGTTGTTTATAAGAAATACACTTGAAACACAAGTAGACACTGAGGTCCTTGAGATCAGAGACAGTTTTCTACCTTTCTTTTTATCCCTGGTGGTTAGCATAGTCTTTGTCAGTTAATTAATGATTGTTGACTAGATAATTTAAAAGAAAAGTTAATTGAATGGGAAGGAAAAATAGATAATAAAACTATAAGAGTGGAGCAGACCTTTCAGAACTAGACAAATCTAACCAAAAGAACCAAGAAAGAAGTTAAGGACTTCAGAAAAAATATACCAGACTGATCTCTGGCCATTACTGAATGGGGAGAGAAAAGAATTTTTGTACCTCTCAAGTATACATGGCACCTTTATAAAAATAGAGAATAAATTAGAGAACGAAGACCTCACCAAAAATACAGAAAAGAAGAAATATTAAGCACATCATTTGCTGATCACAGTGCATTAAAATTATATTCAATAAAGGTCCCTTAAAAAAGAGAATGTGAGAATATTCATAAACATTGACTGAAATACTTCATGATGGTATCTGATTTATTTACAAAACACTTTACTAACTTCATCTCTGGTATAGGTCTGATTCCATCTTTCTTTTTTTTTTCTTTTTTTTGTGTGTGAGACAGTTGGGGTTAAGTGACTTGCCTAGGGTCATACAGCTAATAAGTATCATGTATCTGAGGCTGGATTTGAACTCAGTTCCTCCTCACCCC